CTGGCAGTTAATGTTGCTGTATCTTAATCTGAGCTAGCATGAAAAAAACCCAAAAGCAACTGCGTAAGCATTGCTGGCAAAGTACCTACAATTTTGCAGGCATCAGGTGGTAACGTGTCTTTGAGCCCTATGCTACTTCTTACTCCTTCAGTTTTGGCCTTCTTGTTCCCCTCAGATTTCTTCATGACAGAATTTCTACACCTTTAAACATAAAGGCTGGAGACACATTCTTTGCAAATACACACAGGTGGATATTAAGGTTTTCCAGGCAGGTTCTTGAAAGCTCAGTGAAGCCATTTTGCTGGCACCATTTCTTGCTGCATTATTACAGTTTAGTCACTGTAGCTTAAAGGTGCACAGAAAATACAACACTAATGCTAAACAAGTGAAACCAGACTTAGAAACATCGTTGATAACCTGAGATAGAGAAAATTGTGCATATCACTAAAACTTCCACTTCACCCTACAAATGGGATCAGCTCCTGAAGACACAAAAATAAGCAAGAGCCTTGTACAGGAATGGGCTGTGCCTGCAGTGACTCAGTCCCAAATATCAAATTCACAGAAACACACACATTGCCTACACATACTGCAGCACTGAACAGAGACAGTTCCATCAATTACTATGTTTACTCATCTATTGAACTAGTTAAGAAATGAATTTAATGTCATACGAAGTTCCAATAATACTAACAAAAGTAATGCAAAACCACGGATCAAATCCTCACTTCTGTTTGCTTTTTGGACTCACAACAATTTATTTGATACTAAGGGTCCTGTTGCAGTCATCCCTATTTGCCAGATTGAAAGTAAAGCAACCTATTCTCTGACTACTAGCATATTTAATCTAAATTTGTTACATTGCATAGCTGTAGTCTCTATTTCTATCCACTATTCAGATGGAATGCTTTTTTATTATGAGAAACTTGTAATCCAAAGCAGTGCTATCTCCTTGAATGTTAGTGACCAAAACCCTCCCATACCATCCCCCATTTCGCTTCCTCCCCACCCCAAGTTATTTTTGTCAAAATTGGATGCAAAACATGAAATAGCACTGAAACCAAGAGCAGCTGTCCAAACACCTGCAACAGCTCTCTCGGTATAAAATTTCAGTTTCTTCTGTCTCTCCAAGTGTTTTTAATATTGTGATGTTGGAACAAATGGATGCGGACAACGAAAAGCCCTGCTGCGATATTTGAAATTCTCTCTGTGAAGTTCATTTGATGGTTCAGAATATCCTGTGGTAACACAGAATCTGCACCTTTTTCACCCCATGTCTGTCTCACCCCCAGCTCCCCTCCTACTGAGCACTTTGGTTGGCATTACTGGCCACACCAGGGTGACACCACCGTGACTTTATTCAGACTTCAAGCTCCTGCCACCCATTTGCCTTATTGAGGCTGAAGGTTTTGCTGTAGCAGCTCTGGCCCTCACACAAACCCCTCTACCACATCCAGAAGAAACTGCTACAGCATCCAGCTACAGACACCATGCAAGTGCTGCTCCTCAGTGCATTGGGGCAGGATGAGACACTGAGGGACCTCAACTTAAGTTCTAAACTTAAGGCCCAGATACTCCCCCCGCCCCACTGAGATCTAAAGCAAAAAAGGGTCAGTGAGCTGCGCTGCATTTTAATTGCACCAATACAGTTAAATATTAAATGGAGAAAGCAACTCTACATAGCAAATGGAAAACAAGCATTTACATAGTAAAGCTGTAAGACGTAGAGACTATTAATAAAGTTTTACCCCAGTTGTCTATACATGAATATCCCACTGCAGTTTTTGGTGTTAAAATTTTACATGTAAAACAAAATTAACATTTTCAGGTTCATACACAATTAGCAAGTTATTGAGAAACAAAAAAGTTTCCTCCCTCATAAGCCAACACTGATGGGGGGGCAGGGCAGGGCAGGATGCCCTGTGTTTTTTCATACCATCACTCCATCTACTAGCTTGGGTAGAAGAGAGCAACACTTTTCTGAATAAACTTGATTTTCCCCACACACATACCCCAAAGGGGCATATGCTGATATCTGCCAGGACAGTTACCCAAGGGGAGTTAACACTACCAAATTAGACACTGATCAGCTGGGGAAAGAGTTCACTAGCAAAGCTGTCCTCCCACACATGGTCAGTGCCAAGTGGAGAGGACATGTCACTGAAGGGTGACAGGGATCCTTCATACCCAGAGTCACTACAGGCATCCAACAAGTAGTTTGAGGCTTCAAGGCTACGATGAGAAGAAAGCAGATGAGAAATGCCCAGTTCAGGCATGAAGCTGTCTACAGGTTCCTCCTTCACAGACACTGGGACCTCAGGGATAGCCTCGTCTTCAGATGAAGAGAGAGATTCTTTCTCAATTTTCACTAGCATATTGGTTTGGTTGCTTGCTTCAACAGGAATCTCCAGTATTAGGGGCTTTGTATACACATGATCAAACCTTATCAGTTCATTAATGGCCTCCAGCTTAGCTGATGGGGACCCCAACGATGGAGAGAGGGAGGCTGATATGGAATTTGTTTCTCCAGAGATCTCTTCCTCCAGCTTTTCCAGGCACATTGACTCTGAATCAGCACATCTGAGAAACATCTCTGGGTCCAGACTGTCCAGAAAGCCCAACAGGAGATCAGGCTGCAGAATGAAATACTATTTTAGGAAGACAGCCTATTTCTGTTACAGCAAAGCACCAGTTGTGGCATGTATTAACCCCCATGCAGAAGTTAAAATACACTAAACATAATCACAGTTGTTTTACCAAGAACACCATCAAACACACAGTTAAGGCAGTTACTTGTCTTTCAGAAATTCACAGAATCACAGAATCCATCAGGTTGGAACAGACCGCAGTGGGTTATCTGGTCCAACATCCCCGCTCAAGCAGGGTCAGCCTAGAGCACGTTGCCCAGGATTGCATCCAGCCAGTTCTTGAATATCTCCAGTGAGGGAGACTCCAAAACCTCTCGGGGCATTATGTTCCACTGTGCAGTCATTCTTTGTCCATTAACTTTTTTGTAAGGATACTGGCAATCCCTACAGAATTCTACATGCATTTGAGATTCGCAGCCACTACTGGAAACTCTGAGATCCTGGACACATCAAGTGCTACTGCCACAGTACCTGCTGGCTACACAGAGCACAGATCAGAACCCAGACCTGCCTGTGACCAAAGTTCAGAAGGCTGGGTTGGTTTTTTTGGAGTTTTGTTTAACTCCTGTACTCACTAGATACAGCCTAACACAGCTGTTCTGAGCCACAGATATGGCATTCCAAGACTTGGAAGAACAAAGAAACTATGGAAAAAATCATAAAATTATTTAATATCAAGAAATTAAACTACTAGTCTTAAATCCACAGTGGTTCTGAAGTTCATGGGCAGTTTACATAGGAATGGATGCTCACCTCAGAGTCTGAAGAGTCACTGCCATCAGAATCCACGTGGAAGCTATCAGAAATGGTGACTGCTGGGCCTGCACCTGCTGCAGAGGAACACGTAGTCTGAGTGCTGCGGACTCAGCGGACCCGGTCACCAATCTAATCTCATCCACCTGTGATTCCTTCACAACCTGTGCCAAGGAAAAAATTCAGTCACCACAAGTGTTCTGGCAGGCAGTACAGCACATAATCCTGAAGACACGTTTTTCCTGCAAAGGCTTCCAACATGAGATTCTCCACTTGCTTATGCTGTTGCAACCTGAAGGTAAGACGACTTCCAAAGTTAGCTGAAGCTTCCACGCACTTGCAGATTTATTTTGTTTGCCACTTTTAAATGAGAACCTGACACCCTCCCCCATACACCATTCTTTTGAGACAGGCCTACATGACTGTAACAGTTTTAACTTCACTTCTATAACAAAGTGTAGAGGAGCAGACAAAATTATCTCAAAACAGCTTGGAACTAGTCACCTTGTTATCCCCCACACTACCGACTTGGTATCTGTTCGGTTTCAGGAGAACTTCCATTTGGAGGACGGGGGGGTTTCTGGCAAATTCCTGTTCACAGCACTGGGGTTACCCCGGGAGCGGGGGCAGCTCTCGGTGTGCTCTGCTCAGGGCAGGGGCGGACACACCAGCAGCGCGGCGGGCGACTCACCTGCGACTCGCCGCCCTCCTCCTCCGTCTTCAGAGCATCTAAACCCAGGCGGCAGCGGAGCTCCTGGTTCTCCAGCACAAGGTTACACGTCCTCTCCCGCAGGAGCTGGTTTTCCAGCAGCAGCTTCTGGTTCTGCAGAGAGCCATGAGGCAGGGAGGCCGCCCCTCACCTTCTCATCCCCTCCTCCTCCAGCCCCTCACCTCCTGCTCCAGCGCCTCACCTCCTCCTCCAGCTCCACCACTTGCTGCTCCAGCTCCGTCATCCGCGCCTTCTTCCTGTCCCGGGCGCTCTGGGCCGCCACGCGGTTCTTCAGCTTCCTGCGGGACAGGGCGGCCGTCAGCGGGGAAGCGGGGAAGCCGCGGCCCCCCCCGCCGCTGCCTCCACTCACCTGCGCAGCGCCTTCTCCTCCGGGCTCAGGTGCGTGAGCCGCTGCCGCTTGCGGGCCGGCTGCGGGCCCTCCAGCCCCGCGAGGCCGGGGTCAGCTCCTGCCGGCAAGACAACGGAAAGATGCCGGCCGCCCGCGGCGCCAGGGGCCTCGGCCGCTTTGCTGGGGATGAGGAGCAGCCGGGGGGCCGCGGCACCGGGCAGCGCTGCCATGGCGGGACGCGGAACGGACGCGCTGCCCGGCACCACCAGCACAACCGTCTGCGACGCACGCGGCCCCGCCCGGATTTCTACTATCGTGGCTCTCGCTCATTGGCCAGGACGGCGTGACGCTACGGCCACGCGAGCTCGTGATTGGCCGGCAGCCGAGAGCAAGGAGGGAAGCGAATTGCATCAGACGCGGGGTCTCCGGCCGGGGGGCGCCGGCGCGCGGCGAAGGGCGGGGCCGCGACGGGCCCGCGGCGGGCCGTGAGGGGCCGCCCGCCATGGGCGGTGGGGTGGGGGCTGCTCGCTGAAGCTGAGCAGTGTGTCGGGGAGGCAGCGAGCAGGGGCTGGCGTGGTGGTGCAGCTGAAGCCTCTTTGCGGTCCCATTCCCGCGGCCGGTTTGTCACAAGCAGAATCGTGGGGAACGCAAGTGCCAAAAACGGAACTTCAGCAGATGCCATAAGAATGGGCTAAAAGTGGGCTAAAAAGAACAAAAAAAGCAGAGAGGTTAGTGATTGATGAGTAGAAGTTGCAGGAGAGTGTGCAGAAATCCCCCAGGGGTGTGTCACCGCTGCCCCCAGCCTGTCCTGCGAAGCAGCAGTGCTGTGTGGGGAGGGAAGCGAGCACTTCTGTGGGGTCCCACGAGGGTCATCACCCTGCCCTGACGGGCTGGTGTCAGAGCTGAAGGATCTTGGGTCCAGACAAGTGAAAGTTTTGTAGGTAGAAAGCCTCAAAATACTCTGCCTGTGGGAATGCAGGTGTTCTGCAACCTGCCGACAGCAACACACAAGCACGCGGGGCATCAAGAGTGTTGGAGTGTTGACCTTAGCTCGGTGACCAAAGCTTTCCAAGTTTCCACTTGCGACAGTTGCCAATGACCTGATTAGTTATGAAATGTTGAGACTTTGGCTGCTTATGTTTATTTTTGAAATCCATTTGTACATTGAATTTAAATTAGTTGTTAAACAGTAAAGGAAAAACATGAGCTTTAGAAGTTCAAAGGCACTGGTGTGCTGGTTGGGCATTACTCCAGTGTTGGACTTCTGCCAGGCTTTCATGATCCAGAGAACAAACTGCATTTGTAAGCTTGTGTTTGTTCTTTCCTTACTCACTGCAGTGTGACATTGAGCTAAGGCTGAGAATTCACCTTTCTACTTTGACACCTTTGTGAAAAATACGGCAACTTTTTGATAAGCCTTTTAATCTGAGTGCAAAAAAGTTGTTTGTTCTGGTCCCGCTAAACCCCTTAGATACGGGTCATTGAAAACTATCTGCTGCTCTTTTGTGTGTCTCTTCTGGGTTTTGACTCATGTTTCTTCTGTAATTCTAATTCCCAGTTAAAAACTTTACTGTTTTCTATCAAAATGCAGGTCCAGTATTAATAACATTTTCAGATTTCAGACATTCATTTCAAATTGCCCTTTTTTGCAACACAAGTGTTGAACAGGCTGCCTCACATTGCTGATTTGTGGTATCTATACTGGGGAGACTTGTCATGATATGATTTATCAGACAGATATCCAGATTTCTTAGCGTTATGGCTGAAGAAAGATCCTAACTTTCTGTCTGCTTGTGATTTAATTTTTCTATTTAATTTTATAGGGAACCAGAGCAAAAACATCTGTTTCCCTTTGCAACAAACACTTGTGATCATGAATAAACTCCAGAAGTGCAGGGACATATATGCCAGTAGTGGTGCCTGAAATGTTTTCCAGTTATGTGTGACCAGGCACAAAAGTGGAAGCTACCCTTAGTACTGGTGGTGTCCATTCTTACTGAATATAATAATGGCATCCATTAGCATGTCTAGTGTTGGCAGTAATAGCTGACAAAACAAGGGCATGACACCCTGCAGTCTAGTCCTGTTGAACAGTTTTAGTAGCACTGCTAAGAGTAGCTGTGGTGTAGTTGCTGAGAATACATTTAGGCTCACGAATACCATGTTACTATCATTAGGAGACATAAAGTCTTTTGTTTAAATGTATGGTTAAGTCACTGGGGAAAAGAGTGCCAAAAAGAAGTTCAGTAAATCTGGTCTTGCACTGTGACACCCTCTCAGAGAATTTTTCTTAAAAGACTTCAAGTTTAATTCTAATTTAATTCTAATTTCCACTTTTTTTTTTACACATGCCAGTCTTTGTATTTTTCTTTTTTTTCAGTCGTTGGATTCAATCCTGTGATCCACATGACTCTAGAATGCTTCTCACCCTGCCTTTCACCCCACTGGGGGTTCAGCACTACCACCAAGGATGTGCCAACGAGGATACTGTTGGCTGTCCTGCCAGAAACCACATTAATTCCTGCTAACATAGCTTTATGTTGTATGTTCCAGGTGGCCAACCCACCGGAGGAAATAGTTTTGTTTAACAAAGGTGGAGAGGCTTTGCCCTTGTGTAATATCAGATACAGAGAAAAAAACATGTGTTGAATGTTATCTATGTATGAAAAAAGGGGGTATAGAAGAGGGAAATAAAATGGAAGAAGGGGGTGTAGAGAAGAGGTTAACTGATGATCATAGTCTGAGAAAGAGCTTGTTTGCTGAATGTGTGTCTGAAAATACTTGGAAAGTGGCCTGGGGCCCCAAGCTTGTGACAACAGCTGGAATATTCCCAGGTTTGTATCAATAGCTGATTAAATGAGAAGGGGAACTGTTTTGCTGCCTAAAATGAGGTTATTCCAAACCTGTAACTTATATTCATTTTACATATTCTTAAATTTCGTCATTACACATTGGCCTTCGGGAGTACATCTTTCAAAGTCTTAGTGCTCTTAATTTCAGGGGATATGCAGAATCTGTATCCTCTGCCTACTGCATGGGAGCTGCCACCCAGTCTGCATGCAGTTGGAAGTGACGTTGGCTGTGCCTTCTCTTAATGCTGCTACAAGCAGGTCCTTCAGAAGGTGATATTTTGCTCAGCTATCATCCCTTCTCCATTAATACTTGTTATTGAGATTCTGCCTCATTGGCCTCTGTGATTGTTTCCATTAGAATGGTGTGGCAAAGACCCAGTGAATCCAACTTTAAACCCTGACTCTCCTGCAAACGTCCTACATATGTGTACCTTGTACTCCAGTTCCTTGTCCTCATGTTCCACCCACATACATTACTGGTACCTGCTGCTACCCAGAATTTCAAGGAATGGTGGGTAGGTCTGCCTGAGTTCCCTCTTAGATCTGTGTGGTGGGCCACAGGCACAGGCTGGAGATTCTCACTTTGATCATCGTTATGGTTCAGTCCTCTGACTTAGCTGATTGTTTGGTGAGGGAGAGATCCTGTCACACCTGTACCTCAGGTGTCTCCTGTTACAACTCTTCTTCTAATATCTTCAGACCTTCATGCTGCAGTTCTGTCTGTATTTTCCCCACAGCAGTGTCCCAGCCACTACAGGCAGCTTCAGTTGACTCGGGCAGTGTGTATCTTGTGACAGAGCTCACATGCCCTCATTGTAGGGTGTTCTGTCTCTCCATGCCAATAGAATTAGTTGTCCCATCACCACAGTCAATGAAGCCTTGCTTCTGATTCACAAGACAAGTCTGAGTTAACTAAGACAATGCTGGCAGTGTTTCTGGAACAAAGATATTCATCAAGTTGACTAGACCTTGGGCCTTTTGTAAGGTCTTTTTTTCAGGAAAATGGGGTCTCCCCTCACTGCCACTGGAGTTCCCAGCAGCCATAGGCACTGAAGCTCACCTTGGAGCTTCTCTGGGCAGTTCAGTACCATTGCCTACATTCAAAGAGGTTTTGCCTTATTCCAGGTCTAATGGTAGCTTAGTAGTAATAAACTTCATGCAGTACCTCATAAAAAAGGTGGGTAGGAAGCACACTTCGCAAAGCCCAGTTGTAGATGCATGTATAGGAACTGATTAACTTAATTATTAGAAAATATGAACTTGCATCGTGGCCCTCTTCTGTAGGGACCTCTCTGCATCACAGATTTTTTGGCAACAAAATCATCTCGTGTTTCATGGCTTATAATATTTTGTGTCTGTAATTCCTTTTTTTATTGTCACAGAATACAAAATGGTGGATTTTTCTTCAAACAGTCTAATAATATATTATCTCTTTTTGGTGTGATAACAGTAAATTTAAGACCAAGGAACCTGTATAAAGAGCTCAGAGTGTTCCTTGCATCTCCATGGTATCTTTTCTTCCCTGATTTTCACTTGCATTGTAATTGCAGTTTGCTTCATTTTGTTAGTCTCCTCTGAAACTCAAGAACTCACTCATCTCAAGCAAGACCAGAAATTACCTTATGTATATAATTTTGTAGCAGTTCCAATTTTTTGCCAATTTATTACTTTTTCCAGAAAACTGACATGCTTATTAAACAGCAGAGGTCTCCGTATAGAGCCAGCCTCCTAATCCCCCTCCCACTGTCACAGAATGCTGATTATAAAGGGAAAGTATACCTGCTTACAAGGACTTTGCCATAATTGAGATAAAGATCCCTTGATTTGATTTGTTCTGTCAGACAGAGAACAAATTTCTCTTGCACATTCAGAGCTTGGAGCACACCACTCATGGGAATTTAAAAGAAGACAAGATATCTACATCACAGCAAATGGAAAGGCTTGGCAATCCTGCACTGCCAGTTCTGTAAAAGTGAAATGTTACTGGAAGTCTCTGCAAACATTAGTCTTGTAAACAGATCTTTATCCGTAGTGACCGGATGCCCTTGGGAAGATTTACGCCATCTGCCAGTCCCTGAGAGACTCCACCTGGGAATCAAACAGCATTGGGTCAGCTGGCCAGAGAAATGGGCTCGGATCAGGGAATCTGTTTGGTGGGCACCACAGCTAGTTGGTCTTTAAAGGAATCCCAGAGGTCGAGGGGAGGTTGTGGTTGTTCATTGTCATTGAGGCTTTGCTTGGTTGTTCTGGCTTCTGCTTCCAATCAACTTGCTTAAAGTTTGAGCCCATCCTCTTCCCACACCATTCCCCTATCCTTGACTCTAGTTCATTGCATGGATTCCCTTTCCCTTTAAAAGGTCTAGCTGTTGGCATCTCTGGTGCTTGGCTGTGGTTTATCTGATTGTAATTTGCATGTGTAGTCCTACTTTAGCTCTTTGGTTCTTCTCTTCCTAGCTTAGTCCCAAGCACAGTGTTCCCCTGCAAAGTTTTCTCATCATGCTGGCGGGAAAATGTGGACCAGAGGGTTGTGCAGATTATGCAAGATTTGAAGGTTCTGGAAGGTGCCACAAGAGTTGTTCACAGAGAGGTGTTGTGCTCACCTGTATATACTGATGCATGGTGATACACTAGGGGTGTTAGTGACAAACAAAAGACAAAAGGCAAAGGTGCTGCACTTGGTTGAGATGATGCAGCGAGTGCATCATTGTGGGTGATGCTGTAGGATATGCTTGGGCAGTACAGGAGAGACTGAGCTCGCTGCTGTGCTGTGCCAGGGAACCAACAGCACTGTTCTGGGTTCTGTGTCAGTGTTTCACATGTTGAATAAGCTCTCTGAGGAAAACAGGTAACTTGAAATCTCACATGCCTAAACGCTCCCATTCCAGTAAGTTTTTCAGTTTGCACATCCTGGTTCAGGAGTTGGAAAATACTCTATGAGGTCAACAACCGTGCTTACGAAAACTTGATGGCTACTTCCTGTTGGCAGAAGCTCTTCTTTGGAGCAGTGCCAGTGTTTGAAAGGAAAAACCTTTTCTTATTTCTTAGTCATTCCCTAGGCTTTGAAATTCCTTTAGAAATTCAGAGCCCCTGAGAGTCCTGGCAACTTTCTTGTTTTGTAATTTTGAAGTTATCTCCTTATATTCTTCCATTTGGGTGCCCTTTGTACAGAGAAGCCTGCCTCCAGCTGTCACGAGACCCTGTGTGAAAAGAGGAAATTATCAGAAAATGTCAAGTTAGGAATCAGTCCTGTCTCAGCATGGGCTCAGCAGGACCCAAAATGTGGCGGATATTGTCAGAATCATCCATCTCCTGCCTCATACAGTTTCGACTTTCTGACTGCTCAGAGGGCACAGGGCAGCTGCTGGTGTTAGAGAGGGACGAGTCTATCATGCTTTTTCTGGTAGCCTCACTGATTTGCTCTGTTAGCACTGACTTTAATGATAACACTTACATAAATGGACAGGGACAGTTAAAGCCCTTTATATACTAATTAAATAGATCACATGGTAGTACTTAAATGTGGAAAATGAGTGTTTTAAGGTGATTAATTAAAAGCGCCAGTCAGATCTTGTAACTTCGGTGAGTCTTTAATGTAATAGATAATCCGAGATGAAATAGAGTAAGTAGTTGCTTAACTTCCCTTGGCGTGAATGAATCCATTGTTAATATACTAGTTCCTTCATTTTAGCCAGTCATCTTTTAAGAATGTTTTTTGCTTTTGGTAGTCAGAAGTGGTGAAATCTGTTTGTTGGCTTTAACAGGGTTCTTCATGTTGTGATTAGTATCAGTGGCTGATACACTGTACACCTTAACCACCTGCTTCAAATTTATTCTGTGGTATTTATATATTATTCACTTTATGTAGTGTATCGCTTGAAGTAGGGCTTCATGAACAGCAGCTTGTAGCACATACTTACTCCAGAAACACTAATAACAATGTTGAATTGAATACAAAAATGTCAATATTTAGATTGTATGTAAATATGTTTCTGTGAAATATGCAGGGAGTGTTATATTTACATGGTATTTACATTGGATGTTTCAATATTGTGAGAGAGGAAACTGCTAAGCACTGACATAAGGAACACATAAAATTAACAGTAATCTAGCATTTAGTGTGATTGAACTGGAAGTGATGGAGATGATACAGGGTAACCTCAGGGGCACAAGGGGCACAAGAGCACAGTCAGACATTTGTATGGATGCATTTGGGCACTTCTTGCAGAATGGATACTGAGAAACTTGAAAAATATGGCTCCAGATTTTTTCCAAATCCATTCTGTTCCTATCAGCCCTTGCAGAGATTTTAGATGATCAAACAGCATATAGCAATAATTTCTTAAGCTTATTTCATAGTATTCCTTTTCCTTCTTTTGGTAACATGATCTGCTGTGCCTGCCTGCCTGGTGAGGACCCTGAAGGAAAACATCAGGCATGGCTGTACTGTCTTGCAACTCTTGTGTGAACTTGTACTGTATATTGGGCAATAGTCTGCAAAAAGAAAAGGCTGCATTTATCTAAATGAAGGTATTTTTAGTACAATTTACATATTTCAGTTTTACAGGCCTGATTCATTGTTATTTTTTCCCTTCAGTAGACAATAACATGTACAGAGAGAGTGAAGGGTTCCCAAATCAGCATGTTTCCCCTTCTTACAGATTTAAAAGACTACATGTTGTTTAAGACATTAGAAAACTTAACTTTTCAAACATTAACAGGGAATTTTGTTCACAAATAACTTTTATAATTAAAATTGTCATGGCTAGTCAGTTGTTTAATTTGGATTGCTTTGATGCTGATTTACTTGGATGAATTGCGTTTTCAGAATTTAAATAGCAAGAGGCAAAGCCACAGTTGCGTGGCATATTTTTCTTAACACAAGACTGACTTATGTCCTCACTGACTTTTCCTTTTGGTCTTTAATTAAGCTGACACGTTACAACAGTTTGTTACTTTAATTTAGAATAATTGATGACAATAATGAAAGCATCATTTTCATAAATACATAAACACTTTGTCCATTGCAGTGGGCTTTCTGTACCAAGCTGCAATAGTAAAGTTTGCCTGCATGAAGACACAAGGCTGTGGGAGACACCTTTAACTGCAGCTCCTGGCTCTGGAGACACCTTAACCCCGGCTCCTGGCCCTGGAGACACCCCCAGCGCAGCTCTTCCCCCGCGGGTGCCCCGCGGGTGCCCCGCAGCCTGCGGTGCTCGGGGGACACCTGGTGGTGGCTGTGCCGCAGCGCGCCCCGCCCCGCCCGGGCCCCGCACGCCCCTTGGCTCGCCGTGGGAAACTGCTGGTGCTGCTTCGCAATGAAAGCCCATCCAGCACTCGGGTGTGTCTGAGTAAAGCTCTCAGTCAGCCCTAAGACTGTGCAATCCTGTCTGAGAGGAAAAGGGCAAGCATGTACATGGCCTTGAATTTAATGGAAAGAGGACAGCTCTTGTGCCTGTTGCTCATTTAGAGGTACAGCAATATCATTTGCTTATGAAATAAGCTCTGCAGAGCACAGTATTAAAACATGTAGGGAGCATGGGCAGTAGTCTGAGTTATCAGCTCAGTTGGTTCCTGAAACCACCAGGACAGGCAGATGTGGGAGTGTGAATGAGACAAATGGCTGTCCTCATCCTTCCTGTGGTCACCTGGTCTGCTATGAGGACTTCTCAGATACAGTTTGCTGTGAAAGGAAGGTTCTCAGGTTTGATTTAGTAAATGCTTCAATGGAAAACTCCATTCATCAAAACCTCCTTCTTGTCATGCAGAACTCTGGAATGAGGTTGCTTCTCATACCCATTTAGAACCAGTGTATGTGTCACTACACTGTGCAGGGCAGTGAAGGTACGTCCTAAATCCCTCTACGATGTTCTTTAATCTAAACAAGGGGACCTTTGACACACCACCTGCTTCTTAAACTTGAGTGTCATCACAGGCCGGAATTCCAAGGCAAATGCTAAATAAATTTTTTTTTTGTAATGTAGGAGAAAGATGTTGAGTCAAGTAGTTTACAATTATACAATGGGACACTTTATCCTTCACTTCAGTTTGACTGAACCAAAAGACAGACACTTCTTCCTCTAAGTGGAACAGATACCAGTAGAACTATATGAACACAGATTGGCTTCAAAGGGAAATTGCTAAGTCTCAATTAAAACAAACAGTTATAACAGTCATAAACTATTATAAAGAATACTTAGAATGCTTTGAATGTTTTTTAAACAGGAGTTATCAACAAATATGCCGGTACTATCCAGACTTCCTGATTTTGGTGGTGTTTAAAATATAACAGTTTATTTTAGTTCTTACATTTTAATCCTGGTGTATTGGCATACATCTTTTTGATTAGTCAGTGATGTTTTTCTCAGTTTCTCTTGTGTCTCTTGTTTTTCATCTGGACTTTGAGTTTTAAAGGAAAGACAGTGTCTTAAGCATGTGTGAACAAATGAATCCCTATGATCAAGGTGGCATGTGAATTTATAACATGGAGGTGTTTGAGGTAACTGCCATGAAAACTGATAATATGCCCCAGCTTTCAGGAAATGCTCTCAACGTTGTTGTTTTGAATGAGGTAACTGGGCTGCCTTTCAAGTTGTTTACTTTGTCATAGCTGCAGCCTGGAACCCTGATTGTTGTCTAACTTAACTTGAAGATGTATCCACTTGTATATAACCCTTTCTGTGTTCATTGTGTCAGTGCTCAGCTCTTTCAGCATCTTATGTAGTATTATTGGTAGCTGAGCACTTTAGCTGGAATTCCCTTGGTGACTTGTCACTTGGTCCTTTGTGTTGAGTGACAATCTTCCCAGGACATTATGCCTATTCACCTACCTACCATTCCTACTGGGTGTGATCACAACCTTCCTACTGCACAGAGGGGACCCCTGGTGGCCTAGTGGTTAGCGTGCAGGACTCTCACCTCTGGGACCCAGGTTCGAATCCAGCCAGTCCCCCGGGCAGATGGAGTCCGTTAGGCCTGTGAGGCCATCCATCTATGAGAAGGTCACTCTAAACAAACCTACGTCCTGAGGACCTCACTGCCATTGTCCAAGCTTGCTTGGCCCCAGCAGATGAACCTTAGGATTAAAGGGTGGGCTCAGTTCAGCGCAGGCTGTGTCTCACCTAAAAAATCCATTGCGCAGGCTGGAAAGGTAAAAGACCTTTCCCCAAATCTTCGTTCGCAAAGACTGGCCATTATTATTATTATTATTATTATACTGCACAGAAAAGCCTGATGATGTGTTTGTGACTATCAAAGATGAGAGAAAGGTCTGAGGTGTTTTGTAGTCATTGACAAATTTTTAATTGCCTTTATAGAATACATAGGAGGATGAGAAATAATTGTGTAAAATCTGAATTAATCTGTGAAGTGCTGAGGAATAAACTGCTGTCCCTTCCATCAGCACTTCCACAGTGGTGAGAAACCAGTTTATCCAGGAATAAAATTTCTGTTCATCTGTTTTCATTGTCAAGAAGAAAATGAAATGAGGAGGTTGATCTACTGAAATATTATTCACTTTTTTCAGATAGCACTTACTCTTAGCCACAGTTCCTATTTGCCATTGTATGTTCAGAACACTTTTATCAGTTGGAGGCAATGGTGGTGGTTTGTTGGGGGTTTTTTGCAGTTGTTTTGGGCTTTTTGGGGGGTGGTGGCAGTGGTGTTTGTGTTTGTTTGAGCTTGGGTTTTTTTGGTGTTTTATGTGGCAGCTTGTGAAATACCTGGTAGTTAAAGGGAAAAACAGTCTCGGTGCTGTGTGAGTGCAGTGTTATCTGCAACTACTCCCAGCCGAGCTCCGGACAGGTCCTCGCTCACCAGAGGGGGGAGTTGGGCACTGGGCTCTGTAGCTGGAGGGTGCTACTCCTGTAAAAGGATCTCCCATTGAAATGGAGCCACGCTGGGTTATCTAGTGTTACCAGATCTCTTCTTATGATAAAACATAGGAGCAAGAATCACCTTTTCTTACTATTTAACACATCTGAGCAGACCCTTTTAAGAGATTTTCTTTTTTCTTTACAAAGTGGATGAGAGATGAAATATACTGCAAACAAGGTCTGGCAATACTGGAGACTATCTCAGTCAAATAGAACTTCAAAATTCACAGTAACTGAAATACTTTTAATCCATGCTCGTTGCTTAGTTTCTTTATTTCTTTGAAAAAGGGTCATATTTTCCTTTTTATGCTAGAATCTTAGACAATATATCAGGAAAAAAAAGTTTCTTGGAAAATCCTCTTTATCACTGGCTGAAAGTTCAGTAAGACTTTTGGGTTCTGATATTGCCGTACTTACTGCAGAGTGGATCATCAGAGACTAAGAGCATTGGAGATCATCAGAAGGGGGGGTTTTGGTGATGTCTCTTAAGAATACACCTAACTGAAAATGTCATCTGCTCTTTGCTATCATAACTGATACTAGATTTTGGAGAGGCTCCCTCAGTACTGGAGGACAAACAGGTTAGTGCTAAAGCAGCAGAGCTTAAGATACTTTGTTTCCAATATATTTGGTCTTAAGATCTCTGAGCCCCTGCCCTTGTCACCTCCCTTCAATAACCTGAGTTCCTCTTCCCTTCCTTTCGCATTCCGTAAGCATCCTGATCAAGCAAGAGCCAACAAATGCTGTAACTAATCTGCTGCTGCACTTAGGTTTTTTCTGGCTACTGCCATGCAGAGTGTGCAACAGCTGAACTCCACCGACCTCTGCCCCCCTCACCGAGGGACAGGGTTCTGTACCAACATTTACATGCACACACATTTACTTCATGTCCTTTCCTGGTGGTAACCCCTTAAAATGCAAGTATAGTTACAAAACCTTCATGTTAATTAAATGGGATGCAACTAGAATGGATTCTTTTATTTTAAAAAATAACAACAAACTGTTCTTTGGACAGTAGAACTCAAAAAGCACAGTTTCTTAAATGTTTTCCTGCTGCCCTAGCTTCCCCTGTGTTCCTTTTCGTGCTTCTACAGTACCCAGAGTCCAGAGCCTCCAATTTTCACAAAATTTTCAACTGTACTTCTTAAAACCTCTGTTCTGCCCTTAAGTTTGGCCAAAATTAGCTAATAGGTTCAGAAGAGCAACAAGGCTGATGGGCAGATAGCATATGTTTAATTTAATTATGAAATTAGGCTAAAAGAGGCTCTAGAAGGGATTCTTCAGTGCTGTATTTGTGGTTGACTGCACAGACGTGACAGAAAGCAGTGTTCAGATATCTTCAGCCAAATGTATTTCCAATTACAGGGAAGGCAGGACCAGGGAATTTGGGTTCTTGCCTCCTTTAATGGTCAGAATGGCTGATGAACATGTTGCAAATGGCTACTTAATGTTGTTTTCTTTCTTCCTGATGTGCAAGGCTGTACTTCCTGTGCAACATTCCAGCTCTGCTCTCAGCACAAAATAATTAATTTTATTTGGGGCTTTTTCTGTAACATTCATCACAGTATTATGTGGGTACTTCACTAACTTTGTTTTATCTCAAGAGCAGAGGGAGGAGGGTTCTATAATATCCATTTCTTTGCAAGGGAAATGACATGTAGGAAGTTCAGTGTCAAAAGCATCCTCTAGTGTTGATTGCCCTCTTCTGAGATAGAATCATCAATTTTTTTAGGTTGGAAAAGACCTGTAAAACCATCGAGTCCAACCCTTCCCCTGCTAAACCACTAGCCCATGTCCCCAAGTGCCACATCCACACATCTTTTAAATCCCCCCATAGATGGTGACTCCACCTCTACCCAGGGCAGCCTGTTCCAATGTTCAAATGCTTGACAAGCCTTTCCATGAAGAAATTTTCCCTGATATCCAATAGAAACCTCCCCTGGTATGACTTGAGGCTGTTTCCTCTGGTCCTGTCACTTGTTACTTGGGAGAAGAGACGGAGTGCCCAGGGCATGCTTTCTCAGACCACTTGGCACTGCACATCATTTCATTATGTTCAAATCACAGCTCTCACTGTCCTCAGCTGCAGTTGTAAATGCTGGAGACTTCTGTATTTCAGACCCTGGGCCTCAGTTTGCTATTTAGGGGGAGAAAAAGGAAAACATATCTGAAGTATTATGGCATAACTGAATTGTGAACTGTGTGCTGCCAACTGGGCAGGATGCCAATTAGAAATATTTGATGCTTTAATGATAGACAGTCCATTCTCTTCTTGCAAATTCCTGCTTGGATTTCTGCCCAAGTAGAGGGAACTTGGTGACCTGAGACCTAGTGCCTCATGTCATTCCTCAGTATTTGACTGTGAGGCTGTGACAAGGCAATTTTGGTGTGTCTACAAGTGCAAGGATGTGGGTAGTTTAGTGGAGTGGATCAGATTTTCAGCAGCTCTTATTTTAGGTGTAGGGTGTTGTCCACTTCTTATATAGAGCCTCATTCCCATCTTTTTCAGTAGGTAGTTTCCAGATTTTGTTTGACCTGCCATTTCTGCATTCCCAACTCTCCACCTAACTTGGAGAGGCTCTACCTCTACGTCATTTCCTAAGGAATATTAGAAAAGCACTGGTGATTGTGTTTCCTTCACAACAGAGGTAGGAGTCTTATCTTAGCATTTTTTTACTATACTTAATTTATTTTTCTCTACAGTGGGATTCTCCTGTGAAGCAAGACCTTGCTGGGAAGAATGTGTCCATGTAACAGAAGAATTTCTCAGTACATGAACAGGGGACAAGATTACTGTTGAATTGCCTAATTTGGATAATCCCCGTTTTCTTGGTACTTAAATTTGAAATCTAATAATATCTAATAATATGATATGTAATTTTGAAAAATTAAATAGGAAAAAAAGATAAAAAATAAACATGTAGTGTTCATGGATGCCTCCTGAGGGGCATTTAAGTTTGATGAAATGAATCTTAGACAGTTGCCTGACATCTGAGCCCCTACACTGCCGAAGTAAGTGGACATCCACTTTGGTGACCAGCAGGAAAGGACAAAACATTTTTGACTTTTCAGTTTCACAGCTAAGAATTGGGAATCTCAGGTTCTTCACAGTTTTTGTATAACTAAAACTGTGTGTTCCACAGACACTGAGCTCCTGTCATGATCTCGTAGAACACTTGGATTTCCAATTCCCATCTCTACTCCTAAGGATGCTCTTCCCAATACTATTTTAGCTTTCTGATTCAGTTTAAAAATAACTTTCTCCACTTCATCCCTGCCGACCCCCTTTAGCCCTGGTCTCTTCCCTGATCCAGTTTGCCACAGAGATCCACTGAAGTTACATGGACGTGATTATGGAGAAATTATAGAAATGAAACAAGTGAGAAGGGACGAGCCCAAAACAGGCAAACTTCTGCCAAATGTGGCAAGTCATACTCAGCAAAAAAAGTTCCAAGTTGGCACATCCAGTGCTGTGGCTGCCCTCAGGTTTTGACTGCCTGGGACAGTGGGGAGCACACACCATGAAGGGCAGTTCCTCCAAGCTGCACAACAGTGTTCTACTGGAAGACATCCTCCAAGGGGCACCATTCATTCATTACCTTTGTGTGACAACCTGTGCACACCCCATTGTCCTCTGACACTGAAATTCCAACTCTCCTTACTGCCTGATGACATATCCACTGCGCATGGGGCAGTTGGAAGGCCTTGACCTGCAACAACTTAGGACATAACTGTTTACCTTTGCCAACAGAACATTTAAAAATCTTGATTACAGCAGCTTAAGGACCTTTCCAAGAAGCAAAATAATCAGTGAAAATGGGTATCCTGAACCTGGCATGCAGGGCATAAATAGCTGCCAATGACTGCAAATGAGTTGTTCTGGCCTCTTCTGGAAGGGATGAGAAGACAGCAGGTTAAAAAGTCTGGATATCATTTGCCTAAACCACTTAAGTTCATGAAGAAAGTGAGGGAATTAGCTGAATGTCAAGACACTTTCTCCTTATGACACAGGCATAGTGCAGATGAACAGTGACCATCTCATCATCATGACAAGCAGCCCCTGCACATATCTCTGATTTTGCTGTAGATTGTGAAATTATTTAGCTCACTCAGCAGGGAGAAAATCTTTTTGAGTTCTCCATGTTTAAGTTGTTCCTATATTGATTGCGATGTAGCAAATTGTGTGTTGACTAAGTGTCAGCCATTTGCCTCATGGGTGAGGGAAAAATCAGTAGAGGTAGTTTGCACTTAAGGGATTAAAATGCTTCTATTTAGTACACTAGATGCTATGCATTTCTGAAATCCTACTGAAACATTCCTATAATCTAAAATTCACACCTGTTGACTACATTTAAGTTTGCATAGTGCATCTTCTGCTGTTACCAGGCCAGAGCACCACAGCGATGCCCCTTTCAGCTCCCTTTCTAAGCAAGCCATAATTTTGCAGCCTTTGATCCACTTTACCATTTATGTTTGGGGGTGGGGGTGTTTTGCAGCTTGCGGTAGGAGCCCAGTGTGTGTTCCTGTGATCCCTTCTTGACCTTTTGCCACTGAAGAAATCTTCCATGATTTGTTAAGCTTATATTGCTCACTGTGTCACGCTAGGGATGGCCACTCTCTTGCCTTCAGCTGTAACAAAGTATATTTAGGAAAAGAGCTGGCCATTTGTAGACTAAGATGTTATTCATTCTGCCAGTGAGTTAGGGCTGGACTTTTGTTTCCAGACATTGTGCTTCATAGCCAACAAGGGATCTCGGGTCAGTTTGTCTAATCCTCCTTGTAAGTTATATTTAGGGTCTGTAACATCATGTATTAATAATTCTACGACTTAGCTGTACATACTTTTAATAGAAAACTGTATCATTGGCTGCCATCCAGTTCTTGTGCGAGACTGAAACGAAAATCATTACCCACACACCTTTTCCCCATCACTGATGGAGGTTCTGCAGACTTGCATTAACAGCCAAGCCAAAGAGCCAGGGTTACCCAGCCTCCCGAAACGCAATTACAGGGGACTGGGATCAGGGGGCCGATCAGCCTGTCCTGCCCTACACACAGACGAGAAGCCCGCTCGATGCCGGCTGCAAACAGCAGGCACATCCCGCAGCGCAGAGATGCCTCTGAGGAGGATCGGTGCCCGTGGTACGTGCGGTGACAGAGCACTGCTCCGGCCGCCGGAGAACGTTCACCCGGGCCGTACCAACGGCGGGGCTGCCCCTCGCAGCCGCCGCGCCCGGGCTCCGTCCCTAACGCATGGCCGCGGGCCGCGGTAGCGCCGGGAAGCGGCCCGGCCCGGCCCGCTCCGGCCCCCGGCCCGCTGCTGGGGAGCGCGGGAGCCCCGGCACCGGCGGGCAGAGCCCCGGCGGACGCGGGCCCGGGCGGTCGCCACAGGCCGCCGGGGCCGCCCGGCCCGGCCCTGCAGGCCCGGCCGCGTGGGAGGCCGATCCCGGCAGGGCCTTCCCGAGAGCCGCCTGCTGTCGGACCCTTGCGGGCCCAGGCCGGGTCGGACCGGCAGCAGCCGCGGGTGCCCCTCAGCTCAGGCGGGCCCGGCGAGGCTGCGGGCCGTGTGTGCACGGCGGGAGGGACAGAGCGGGTCAGCGCGGCGCGGAGGGCGGGGATAACCCCGCGGTGGCCGTCACGTGGAGCAGATGAAAGGGAAGCGGCTTGGCAGGGCGGAGAGGAGCCGGGGCGAGGGACGGGGAGTGCGGGGCGGGCGGCGGCGAGGAGCGGGGCGCAGCGCGGCGGGAGGGCCGCTGCCATGGGGCGCTGACCCGCCCGGGACCCCGGCCCGGGAGCTGGAGCCGCTCGGGAGCGATGCGCGGCGGCGGGGCGCCGCTTCCTCCCGCCGCGCGATGAGGGGCTGCGGGGCCGGCGCGAGGCTGCCCGTGCCGCCGCTGCCGCTGCTGCTGCTCGGGGTGGCGTTGGCCGCGGCGCCGGGCGCGGCGCTGGGCAAGGAGACGGCGTTCGTGGAGGTGGTGCTCTTCGAGTCCAGCCCCAGCGGCGACTACACCACCTACACCACGGGGCTGCAGGGCCGCTTCTCCCGCGCGGGGGCCACGCTGAGCGCCGAGGGCGAGATCGTGCAGGTGAGCGCGGCCGGGGGGCGCCGCCTGCCCCAAGATGGCTCCGCGGGCCCGGCACCTGCGGCACAAAGCGGGGCCGGGCCCTCAGCCCCACGTGCGCCGCGCGGCCCGGGGACGCGGTGACAGATGCGCGCCCGCGCACAAAGGCCCCGCGCCGGCCCCAACTTGCGGGGCCGCCCCGTTTTGACAGCCGGGCGCGCGGCGCGGTCCCTCCGCGGCGGGAGCGGGCGGAGCCGAGGGCCGCCTTCCGCGCGCCTCGGGCTCCGCTCCGCTCGCCCCTCAGCCGGGCGCGATGCCGGCGGGCGGGCGGGGGCGGTGCCGCGCCGGGCGGCCCTTGCCGGTCCCGGCGGTTCGCGGCCGGGGCTGTGAGGGGCTGCCCCGCTCCAGGGGCGGCCGGGACGCGGGGGGCCCGGGCCGAAAGTCCCGCGGCAGCAGTTGGGTGCTGCGCGCTCGGGCTGTGCCGGCCGGTGCCCGCTCGGCGGACGCGGGGCTGCTGCGCTCGGGGCTCCCTCGAAGCCGGGCTCCCATCGCGGACGTTTCGTACAAAGCTGCGCTTGACTTTCTCACTAGAGAAATAATTTTTGTCTGTGACTGAACGCAGCTATTCTTTACTGTGTTTGAAACTCTTGAAGTGCTTATCTAATTCCTTTGTAGTCTCTTGTAATTGTTGACTTTATTTTTTCCCCCCTTTGGCTAAGTAGAGAAAAATGACTTGAATGGTGTTTTAATAAGTTTGACTGTTAAGCAATTGCCAATAGCAATCCTTATTTCTGTTTAAGAGCTGTGGAATTTGTTTGCTTGAGTTCCATATCCGTACACATACATGCATAAATAAATATACACATAAAATTTTGAAAAAGCTAACTGGTGGCAAGTAAGCTCTAGAAACGCCTGATAAAGCTGTACAAACACAAATACTTTACTATCAAAATAACCTTTTTTTTTCTTTTTAAATAATACTGCTTTTGAGTGCTTGATATTTCAAAATGGTTTCACCTGGGAGGATTTCTTATAAAAGTTCTCTCACAGCCAGAAGAGTTGTGCGGACAAATTGCTGATGTAAGGCGATTATTTTCTTCAGAGAAAAGAGGAATGGATCAATTACTTTATAAATCTGACATTTAAAAAAAGGGTGGTGCTACTACAGACTGAAACAGAGGTGGATGTTTTTTAACCTTTTGGTGCATTTTCAAACAGTGAGAATTAACACTGTCTTTGGGGCCAACAAGAGACCCTAAAGGTTCCTTTTGTGTCAGGTGTTAGTGTTAAGAAGAGAATATAGGCCATTTACTGAGGTCATACTTTCCTGGTGACTGTAAGTAAAAGTGGAGAAAAAACTTACTGTTTTTTTAAGACTTAGATTTGCACAACCTGGGACAAATGTATTAAACGGACTTTTGCAGGCCTTGTGGTGTGTAACATCAGCTGTCTGCTTCCTCTTCATCATTAGCAGACAGCACTCCAAGTAGGAAAGACTACAGTGAAAGCCAAGTGATGTGGCAAATCTTTTACAGTCAATTATTGCTCAAAAATGGATTTGCTTATTCATCTGGACACATGCTATGTAACATACCTCATGGACAGGCTATTTTTTTTTATGAGCCGTGTGTACTGTTCTTTTTTTCAGAGAAGAAAACCTGACAGACGTTGTTCCAAAACAGCTAGACTGAATGCCATCAGTTGTGTTTTGGCTGTTGAGGTTCTAGATTGCATACAGCATCTCTTGTCAGTGTCCTGCTTCCTTTATCTCCTCCTGAAAGTGACTTTTTCAGAGCCAGAATTTATAAGATTTTCGCAGCACTGTCTTGCCTCCCATTTTTCAGCGAGGCTGTGTTTTTATAGAAGACTATGAATCTGTTGTTCTGGATCATCATTGAAAGCTCCCTGTGAGGTTTAGAAAAGCTCATGAAGCTGATGCCACTCGGAACCAGTTCAGCAGCAACGAGTTAGTTGTACATCAGTGAGTGAAGCAAGCTCTTCTTGGCCCCAACCCCTTTGTCAGTGCACACAGCAATTCAAGAATAAGATGCATTTTTCTTTAAAATGAAATATTAGAAATTCTTTAAAATCAGGCACACATTAAAGTATGGATCAAAGGAATTGTGGTTTTGAGACTACACAAAGACTTACTTTTGTTTATGTTAATAGCATCAATTACTCATTGGCTTGAAAGTCTGAACAAAAAAAAACCAACCGTAAGAAACAATGCACTTTCAGCTTTTGATAGGTCATACATCCACTCCTAAACTGGTTATTGGTCAGATTCCTATCCAGTAGTGGTGTGCTATTATATTGCTTCTCATGTTATTGTAAACGAGTCTTAATAGGGTCAAGTGT